AAGTTGACACTCAAGTCTAACCAATACTGTGTTCCTCCTCACTAAGGTAAAATGTTAAAAACCTTCTGAAGTGAATCATGCCTCTCTCCATCCATGCCTTTCTCATGTGCCTTTGCTCTCCTGCCCATCACTAGGCCCTCAGACATGTGAATGAAGCCTCTAAGACAGTCCAGTCACCACACTGATGTCATGTGGAGCACTTCCTGCGGAGCATTGCCTGAAACTCTGACCCCCAGAATCATGATTAACAACGTGGTTGTGTTTATTCGCTGAGTTTAGAGAGTGATTTATTACACAGCCATACATAAGTGATGAAACTGATTCTAGTGATACAATAAGTAATGAGAAAATATAAATCGAGATCTGTCACAGTAGCACCTATCCTGTATCATGTATCCTGGAATTAACCTAACACAAATGCACAAAATATTTATAAACATTTAAACTCTTTTAAAGGATGTTTAAAATATAAAAATATAAAACTCTTTTAAAGGATGTTTTAAAAGAGTCAGATAATCAAAGACATGCCTTTTGTCTTTCTTTTTTTTTTTTTTGAGACAGGGTCTCATTCTGTCACCCAAGCTGGAGTGCAGTGGTGTAATCTCAGCTCACTGCAACCTCCACCTCTCAGGCTCAAGTGATCCTCCCACCTCAGCCTTCCAAAACAAAGACCACAGGTTCAAACTATCACATTTGGCTAATTTTTGTATTTTTAGTAGAGATGGGATTTCACCGTGTGGCCCAGGCTGGTTTGAGCTCCCAGGCTCAAGTGATCTCCCCATCTCGGGCTCCCAAAGTGCTGGGATTACAGGCATGAGCCACTGTGCCTGGCCCCTACACCAGATCTTAATGGTGGAATTTATGCTAGTTTTATTTTTCTCACAAAAAAGTGCTGACATATAAATTTATCACGGAGAAATACTCAATTCTATATACAAGACCCAATAAAACAATCTAAGATGGGCCGGGCGCGGTGGCTCAAGCCTGTAATCCCAGCACTTTGGGAGGCCGAGGCGGGTGGATCACGAGGTCAAGAGATCGAGACCATCCTGGTCAACATGGTGAAACCCCGTCTCTACTAAAAATACAAAAAATTAGCTGGGCATGGTGGTGCGTGCCTATAGTCCCAGCTACTCAGGAGGCTGAGGCAGGAGAATTGCCTGAACCCAGGAGGCAGAGGTTGCGGTGAGCCGAGATTGCGACATTGCACTCCAGCCTGGGTAACAAGAGCAAAACTCCGTCTCAAAAAAAAAAAAAAAAAAAAAAAAAAACAATCTAAGATGGACAAGACTATTTTCACAAATGCCTTAAAGAGACACTTTAGACCGGGCACAATGGTTCATGCCTGTAATCCCAGCACTTTGGGAGGCTGAGGCAGGTGGATCTCTTTAGCCCAGGAGTTTGAGACCAGCCTGGGCAACAGAGCGAAACCCATCTCTACAAAAAATACAAAAAATTAGCCAGGTGTGGTGGTGCCTGTGGTCCCAGCTACTTGGGAAGCTCAAGTGGGAGGACTGCTTGAGTCTGGGAGGTTGAGTCTGCAGTGAGCCAATATCGCTCCACTGTGCTGCAGCCTGGGCAACAGAGTAAAACTCAGTCTGCTGTAGGCCTGGTGTGGTGGCTCCACACCTATAATTCCTGTGCTTTGGGAGGCTGAGGCAGGAGGATCACTTGAGGTCAGGAGTTCAAGATCAGCTTGAGCAATATAGCAAGATTCTGTCTCTACAAATAATTAAAAGAAAAAAAAATTAGCTAGGTATGGTGGCATGTGCCTGTAATTCCAGCTAGTCAGGAGGCTGAGGTGGGAGGATCACTTTGAGGCTGCAATAAGCTATTATTGCATCACTGCACTCCAGCTTGGGCAACAGAATGAGACCCAGTCTCTTTATTTATTCTTTTCGAGATGGAGTTTCGCTCTTGTTGCCCAGGCTGGAGTGCAATGGCGTGATCTTGGCTCACCAAAACCTCTGCCTCCTGGTCAAGCAATTCTCCTGCCTCAGTCTCCCGAGTAGCCGGAATTACAGGCATGCACCAACACGCCTGGCTAATTTTGTGTTTTTAGTAGAAATGGGGTTTCTCCATGTTGGTCAGCCTGGTCTCAAACTCCTGACCTCAAGTGATCTACCCACCTCGGCCTCTCAAAGTGCTGGGATTACAGGTGTGATCCACTGTCCCCAGCCGAGAGACCCAGTCTCTTAAAAAAAAAAAAAAATCTGGTGTATATTTAACTCCATGCAAGAAATCAAACAGTATCCCTACCCTTGGCCCATAGCACCAGGCACTGTGCTAAGGATTTTCACACACACAATCTCATGTATTCTCAAACCTTCTAGAAAAGTATCGTTTATGATTCCTGTTTTATTGATGAGGACACTGAAGCTTAGAGAGGTTAAGTCATTTATCTAAGCTCACGCAGCTAGTAAGCAGCCACTAACTGCATGGCTACCGAGCTTATGTTCTGTGAACACAATACTCCTTTAATTAACACTATGCACTTGGAGATTCTAAAATGTGGAATAATTTGACTACATAGTTCAGTGGTCATTCACTTCCAGATACAGCCTGGATATAATAGGAAGACCTGAAACTCCCAGCTGAAGAAGCATCAGAGACCTCTGGGAACCTCCCCTAGGTTCCGTGTGTCTCTGCAGGGACACTAGCAGAGTTGGTTCTTGAAAGGAACGATCCTTTTAACCCTGGCATTCTTATTTCCTATGGTCAGTTGAAGTTTCATCTAGGAAGACAAACTCATTTTAACAAACTACAATCAGGGAGAGAAATTTGCAGCTAAAAAAGAGCTTTTGTGAAAATGAATTCTCTGACTCTCTTTTTTTTTTTTTTTTTAAGATGGGTTTTCACCATGATGGCCAGGCTGGTCTTGAACTCCTGACCTCAGGTGATCCACCCACCTCAGCCTCCCAAAGTGCTAGGATTACAGGCGTGAGCTACCGAGCCCGGCATCTCTGACTCTTCTTTGTTGCTCTACATACATCACCAAACGGTCACTGAAGATAATTACAGAATTATGGGATTAGGAGATGTGGGATACGGGATATAAAGGTAACTATGACCTTGCTCAAATAATTCTAATTTTGACTCTTGGTTACCACTCTTGTCTATGTCAGCTGTTCCTATTTCTAAAAATGATGGTTCTCTACAGATAATCCGGAGTATTTATTCATTCCAATGAAGTTAATCAATACTTGCCTTTGTGGTTTATTGGGCAATAAATCATTTCTAGGTGCTGGTCCTGAATATGCCTGAGTAACTGTGTGCTCTTGTGTAGGTTACATAAGCCCATTGAATCTTACTTTCTTCATCTCTGAAATGAGAGGTTTAGATGGGGCATTCTGTAAACTTCAAGATTCTTACTTTGCTGATTACTTTCAAGGACCTAGGAGCTATGCAATCCCAGATGTGTCCAGCAGAGGTCAGGAGATGTCAGTAAAAGCCCTGAGGTCTACTTTAATCCCAGTTAGCTGTGTACAGTTTCATGGGAGTCCCTATTTTCAGGGTTACCGATTTTTTAAGGTTGGGCAGGTCTTGAAAAATTAACGTAGAGATGCGTTGTGTGCTTTCGGCCTCTTTGTCAAATGTAAACCATTTCTCTACTAGCCAATGCCTAGTGAGCAAAGGTAAATTGCCCAGCGGAAGGTGATGCGTGGGAACACTGTAACCTTTGGTAAATGTAAGCAAGTATGGACATTACAGCAATTCCATCCCATCAAACTCTCTTCATGACAAAGGGTCTCTAAAGTCTAGCTAGTGATCTAACATTTTGAAAAATATTCATGAGCACACCATTGCACTCCAGCCTGCGTGACAGAGTGAGACTCTGTCTCAAAAAAAAAAAAAAAAAAAAGCTTCTTCTCCGATAAAACACCAAATGGCGGATGAGGCCGGTGCAGCGGGGGGGTGGGGCGGCCCCGGGGGCCCTGGGGGCCCTGGGATGGGGAACCACGGTGGCTTCCGCGGAGGTTTCGGCAGTGGTATCCGGGGTCGCGGCCGTGGACGAGGCCGGGGCCGAGGCCGCGGAGCTCGCGGAGGCAAAGCCGAGGATAAGGAGTGGATGCCTGTCACCAAGTTGGGCCGCCTGGTCAAACACATGAAGATTAAATCTCTGGAGGAGATCTATCTCTTCTCTCTGCCCATCAAGGAATCTGAGATCATTGACTTTTTCTTGGGGGCCTCTCTCAAGGATGAGGTTTTGAAGATTATGCCGGTGTAGAAGCAGACCCGTGCAGGCCAGCGCACCAGGTTCAAGGCGTTTGTTGCTCTTGGGGACTACAATGGTCACGTCGGTCTGGGTGTTAAGTGTTCCAAGGAGGTGGCCACTGCCATCCGTGGAGCCATCATCCTGGCCAAGCTCTCCATTGTCCCCGTGCGCAGAGGCTACTGGGGGAACAAGATCGGCAAGCCTCATACCGTCCCTTGCAAGGTGACAGGCCACTGGGGCTCTGTGCTGGTGCGCCTCATCCCTGCACCCAGGGGCACTGGCATTGTCTCAGCACCTGTGCCCAAGAAGCTGCTTATGATGGCTGGTAGCGATGACTGCTACACCTCAGCTAGGGGCTGCACTGCTACCTTGGGCAACTTCGCCAAGGCCACGTTTGATGCCATCTCTAAGACTTACAGCTACCTGACCCCCGATCTGTGGAAGGAGACTGTATTCACCAAGTCTCCCTATCAGGAATTCACGGACCACCTCGTCAAGACCCACGCCAGAGTCTCTGTGCAGAGGACCCAAGCTCCAGCTGTGGCTACAACATAGGGTTTTTATACAAGAAAAATAAAGTGAATTAACATTGCAAAAAAAAAAAAAAGAAAAGAAACATTTATTCAGCAAAATTCTTGTCACAATATAGGCTTCAATCAATATTTCTCTTTCTCTCTCTCTTCTGGGTTTCATCAGAAAAATTATCTGGGAAACATACCATTGCAGAGATAGAGACTCCTAATAAATATGTAAATATTATAAGCATTGGGTTTTTTTTTTTTAGGTAGAAACAGGAGGACTGATTTAAATGTGATTGAATCCAAAGAACTGGGAATCAGGGGAAGACCCTGCAGCCAGGTCAATCCTGTTACAAAGAGCTGTTTAAAGAAAATGTAGTAGAGCCAGTCTGGTGGATAAAGTTGTCTCTGGGTAAGACCTCCGTTTAAACCTTGCTCAAGTTATTTGGTAAACTTTCTTAACTTCCCTGGAGATAAACTCCCCCATTTACTTATCTATATAGTGAAGACAGTGATAAGACCTCATAAGATTTGTGTGGGGATTAATGAGCTAATGGCAGGAAAACACCTGCCACACATTAAATGAGCAATAAGTGAGAGCGATTGCCGTCACACATCAATTAGGAGTGTTTTTAGAAAAAGCAAATGGGGAACAAAATCACTGTCTTTTTCTAAATCTCTTTCATGACTATCTCAGACTGGGTTTGATGCTGCTGCTGTGTGTTTCAGCCACTGCAGCTGACAGACCCCGGCCCAGCCACCTTGCCTGTTGACAGCCATGCAGCCCTGACTGGCACCATCATCCCCAGCCCACGGGAGCAGCAGAGGCAGCTAGATGCCCATTTCTGCCAGCCAGTCCTTATCTGACTGCCAGCCCATCAGCCACAGTCGGAGGCTGCCTTCCCCATGGAACAGGGGCCTTTCCTCTCTCTCAGCCCCACTCGGAGCCTAGGCTTGTGCTGGGTTGCCTGCTTCCCACTTGGAGGTCAACTTCCACCCAGGGCTTCACCTTTGGCCTCCAAGACTTTTCTTTTTTTCCTTTAGCTCAGCAGTCAGGTGAGGTGAGGGTGGCTCTTGCATATAATCCCAGCACTTTGGGAGGCTGAGGCTGGTGGATTGCTTGAGCCCAGGAGTTCAAGACCAAGCCTGGGCAACATGGCAAAACCCCATCTCTACAAAACATTTAAAAATTATTGAATGAAAGTTGCCAGGAAGAAAAAAGAAAAAAAAAAATTAGCTGTGCACACCTGTAGTCCCAGCTACTTGGGAGGCTGGGGTGGGAGGATTGCTGGAGCCTGGGAGGTCGAGGCTGCGGTGAGCTGAAATCACACCACTGCACTCCAGCCTGGGTAATAGAGCAAGACTCTGTCTAAGAAAAAAAAAACATTAGCACTCGATTTCCTCATTGTTGTGACTTCTTCCCCTGCTCTGGCAGGCTCCTCTAGGACAGGTCTGCACTGATCTCTCCCACCATCGCTGACCCGCAGTAGGATGGGCTGGGCTCTGAGAGAGCTGAACACTGGGCCAGGCAGGGCAGGGAGGCCTGTGTGTCCTGCAGGAGAGAGAGCGCTGGGCCGTGCTGCGCTCTGATGAGCGTGAGCTGTGTGGCGGGAGGCATGGGCCGGGTGGGACGGCTCCCAGGAAGGTTGGAGAAGGGCTGGCCTCGGGACAATGGAGCGGAACATTCCAGATTAGCTGTGGCATCCATCGCCCAGCCTGGGCCATCCAGCAGGGTGGGGGCCACGGCAGGATTGCTACAACCTGCTCACATCCCGAGACTCTTCGGAAGGAAGACCTAGGCCAGTAGCCGAAGGACCTCCCAGTGACTCACGTTCAAAACCAAAGATGAAAAGGGAGATGCTGTCTCCTTACACTAGCCATAACTCCAAACTTTCTGAAAAAGGCTTAAACCCTTAAGGCTTCTGCGTACTCAAATGGAAAGAAAGTGGAAGGAAGTGTCCCTTCAAAGAGAAACTTTCTGCTTCGTCTGAAGATGACTGCAGCCTAATTCTGGCTCTGAAATTCTCTTACCCAGTCCCAGCCAAGCTCCTGGCTCCTCCGGGCCTTGCTTTTGGTGCCTGTAAGGCAGCTCTGGAGTGATAGGGGCAAGCCCTGCCTGCGAGGAGTGGGGGAAGGCATGAGTGTGATTTGTGGTTGCTGGTACTTGATGCCCACACACAGCATGTGTTGCTCTTGGTGTAATTTAAGATATTTTTATAAAATCAAAAAAAAAAAAAAAAAAAAAAAAGAAAGACTAGTGTCTCATCTTGTTCCAAATCCCCTTTGGGAAAGTTTGCTAATAGCTGCCATTTATTTAGAAAAAGTACATAGAACACCATGGTGTGGTAACACCCTTCTTCCCATTTTACAGACAGGGATGCTGAGCCTTAGGGAGATGAAGCAATCTGCCTAACTGCTGGCACTGGGGAGCAGTGGGCCGCAGCCAAGCAGGAGCGCAGAGCTGGGCTCCGGGCACAGGGAGTTCCCGCTCCGCCCACCCTCGGGGGCTCCCGGGACAGGCCTGCCTCCGGACCTTTGCAGGTGCTGTTCTTCGGCTGGGATCTCCCCTCCCTCCTGCCTCCTGCCCTTCCTTCAGGCCTCTGCCTCACGCCTGCTATTACTGAACCCTCCCTCCCACATGACCGGTCCACCTCTTCCCTCTTTCCTCGTTTGATTATTCTCTGTCTTCCCCACTAGAACGAAGGCCTGTGGGATCTTTGTCCGTGGCTGTATCTTTAGCATCTAGGAGAAGGTGCTCCTCACTATTAATTCAACAAATCATCATCGAATGAATGAGTGGCTGCCAGAATTAGCGGGTCTGGTGGGCAGAGCAGCAGCGGTGGGATGCCGGGATTTGAGGGAAAGGCCCCTCCAAGCCCTCGGGACTGTCTGTGGACTTAACTACGCCACAATGCCCCACTCTGACAGAGCACAGTTCAACAGCCAGGAATGACCCCAGCTCCCTTCCCTACTCCACCCTTCAGCAGAAGACGGAACAGCTTCTCCCCACCGCCCAGCTTCCAGAAATACCTCCCCTTGGGGCCTTTTCTGCTCTTTTTCCCTCAGGAGGTACTGTGGGAGTCGGGGGGTTGGGGGTAGGGGGCAAGCACGAGGGTCTCTGGGGAAGGGAGATCTGTAAACACTCCTGTTTTAGCCCTGAAATCGCACTGCGGTCTCTTCCCCCTGGCTGGTTTGTTCAGCCAGAAAAAACTTTATTTTGGGGTGAACAGCTCGGCTGGCTTTTCAAGACTCAGTTCAGGCATCTCTGTGGCCCCTCTTCCGGGTTAGTGCCCTCCTTGCTGTCCTCAGGGCATCTCAGCCCTCTCCCTGCTCATCTCAGCAGCTTTGCCTCTGTGTGCTTCTCAGCCAGCACTCACGGGCTGGGGTCATGCCTTTCTTCCTCTGGGCCCCAGGCCCAGAATGGCAGGGCCACAAATCAATGTTTGCTGAGTAACTGAAGTGGGTTGGGAAGGGTTCTCCCAGACGAAGGCACCTGACGTTACCATCTGAGAGCCAGCACTGCACATCATCAGGGAGCCCCACCCTTGTCAACATGCCCTCTCCAGCTCCAAGTGCCAGGGCCAGCCAAGAATCCGGAGGGACCACATCTTATGTAGGCCATATGACAGACTCCAGACAAACAATGTTTGCCCTGCAAAACCAGTGCTGCTGGGCTGGGGGTGGTGGCCTGTAATCCCAACACTTTTGTAGGCTGAGGCAGGTGGATCACCTAAGGTCAGGAGTTCAAGACCAGCCTGGCCAACTGGTGAAACTCTGTCTCTGCTAAAAATGCAAAAGAAAAAAAAAATTAGCAAGGCCTGGTGGCACATGCCTATAATCCCAGCTACTAGGGAGGCTGAGACAGGAGAATTGCTTGAAACTGGGAGGCAGAGGTTGCAGTGAGCCAAGATCCCACCACTGCAGTCCAGTCTGGGCAACAGAATGCAACTCCGTCTCAAACAAACAAACAAACAAACAAAACCCCAGTGCTGCTGGTCGCAGGCTGCCCTGTGGTTGGTTCCTATCCAGCTCAGAAAACAAAGACACCAGCATCATGGGCATCTCACTCCTGCTTCCCTTCCCTCAAGCTCCAACAGCTTCCTGTTTACATCCTCAGGCTGACTGCAGAGTGGGGGCTGGGGAGTGGGGGGGTTCTCACTTATAGAGAGAAAGAAATCCTGGATGGGGATGAGAAAGGGGAAGAGCAGGAGGGGAAGCCCTGAGGGACGGGTGAGCACCCTGGACGCCCAGAAACCTCATGCCTTTCCGTTCTGACTCATCTGTCCTCTAGTTCTTTCTAGCTTCTTGGCAAGGACAGAGGCCCCTGCTGAGAGGGCTTTAGGAATGGCCAAAGTCTGACATGGTGCAACCTCAGCCACGCCAAGAAAGAACTTGGATACGTCTGTCTCGCTGTTTTTCCAGTTTTTGTTTGCACCTCACAGGAAGAACTGGTCCGCCTTCATTCCCAGGCCTACCAAACTGACAGGTTCTTCAGTGTGGGTGGGGCCCCTGCTTACGGCCTTAACCAGCAACTGCACTAGAGAACTCTCTGTCTAGACTACAGCCACGTTTCCCAAAGTCATCAGATTAAAGGCATCACCTGGAAGTTCTCACTGGGTCGTCTGGGGATTTCTGAAGGGCCACAGATGATATATAAAATAGCTCAGTAAAAACCAACCTCAGCTGGGCGCCGTGGCGCAGGCCTGTAAGCCCAGCACTTTGGGAGGCCAAGGTGGCTGGGTCACTTAAGACCAGGAGTTCGAGACCAGCCTGACCAACATGGTGAAACCCCATCTCTACTAAAAATACAAAAATTAGCTGGGCCTGGTGGCGTGTGCCTGTAGTCCCAGCTACTCAGGAGTCTGAGGCAGAGGTTGCAGTCAGCCAAGACTGTGCCATTGTACTCCAGCCTGGGCAACAAAAGCAAAATTCCATCTCAATAAATAAATAAATAAAAACCAACCTCATAGGGAGTGATATAAAATGTGAAAAACCAACCAGCCAGCCTCATTAGCGCTTCGTCCCTTCTCACCTGTCAAGCCTAATTCCCTGCGCATGCGCCCTGAGCTTCCTCCCGCAGTCCGCTCTGCCTGGAAGGCCCTTTCCCGCCTTTGACTGTCTGGGGAGCTCTGAGTCTGCGTTTTCAGCCTGCAAAGGCTTTCTCCATCACACTCTTGAGGCCTCTTACAGAGTTAGGGGTGTCCTCTGCTCCCATAGCTCTGTGCCTGTTTCTCATCTGGAGCCTGCAGCAGGCTGGAATGAGAGATGGCAGTAAGAAACCAGCCCTCCTTATGAGTAAACGCGTATTTGGTAACTGATACAGCTAAAGAGCTGGTTAAGTCTTGCTTTTCCTGAAACAGTGCTGCTGACTTGTACAGCTGATCAGTGTCGCTCGCCAGCCCCAGATTATTTCAATGGCTCCCCATTGTG